AATACAAAATTACCTATACGTACAGCCATGTAACGCTAGTGATGTTTGGGTAAAAAATAAAAAATGTAGATAATACAACAACATAGGTCTTCCCCCAGAAAAACCATAGCAGAAATAAAACAAATAATAATAATAATAATGAAAATTAAAATAAAATAATAATAATGTGGGGAAATTATAGTACCATGGTGTGTGTGGAATAATAAAAAAAGGAACACAACAACATATTGAAAAAATGTAACGAGAAATACAAAATTAGTGCCATAGTGATGTTATGGGATTCAGGTAAACAAATTATGAAATGTAGTCATAACAACACCAATACCTGCCTTAGGTCTTCCCGCAGACTTGGTAGGTAGTATGACCATAGCAGAAATAAAAACATAATAATAATAAGTACAAGAAATTGGTATGAACACCGCCGAGAAGCGGTTACAGACAGAGGACCTGTAACAATTTTATTGGAGTTTCCGATACACACAGACGGAACAATCAAAGCTGATCGTTTAGACAAAGACTTGATCAAAAACAGAAGGTGATTTCTTATTGGCATGACAGTTCATATACACACTGTAATGTGTCTTTGAAGATCTTCAAAAAGAACTATCGAAATACAAAGATCTTGAATTGGAAATCTCAAAAAAATGTCGCAAACGAACATACCAGTTATGGAGGCCTCGGTTTGATAGGAAAAACGTTCTGATAAATTCAGTGAAGAATTCCTGGTCGCCAATGCTTTAAAGAAATAAAAAAACATTGTTCTTAGAATTACAACTCAACCTTACGAAAGTCGATATGTAAAATATTTGTGATCTTGTGTTGTTTTTTTTTAAATGTTCAGTGAAAAATGTTATTACTGATCTTAGGTCTCTGGTTGGGACCCGGAAGGAAATATGCATGCAACAGAAATCAAAAGAAATAATAATAATAATAAAAAGAAGAATAAAAAGCCAACCGCCCAGACATTGTTATTAAAGACCACAAAAAAAAAAGTGCCTCCTTATTGATATGGCAGTCCCTGCAGACTGCCATGTATCTTTTGAAGATATTCAAAAAGCTGTCGAAAATACAAGGACCTTGAAATAGAAATCTCATAAATATGGTACATGGGAACATCAACAATCCCTGTTGTAGTTGGAGCCCTTGGATTGGTTGGAAAAGATTCCAGTAGACTAATTGAAGGGATTCCTGGAAGTCCATGCCTCAAAGAGATACAAAAAATTGTTCTCACGAGTACAGCTCACACTTTACGAACGGCTTTATCCATGTAATTTTTTTTTTTTTTTTTTTTGTCAGTGAAAAGTGTCATGATGCCATTTCTAACCTTAGGTCCCTGGCCGGGACCCGGAAAGAAATCAAAGAAAATAATAATAATAATAATAATAATAAAATCCCTAGAAATCTCAACTAGTACAAAAAATTGACTTGATAAATACAACCCAAACACTAAGAAGAACTTTGTCCATGTAACACTCGTGATGTTATGGGAGTTAGAAAAACAAATCATGAAATTTAACCATAACAACACACTACTAGCTAACTTAAGTTTTCCTGCAGACTTGGTAGTTAGTGTGACTATAACAGAAATCGAAATAATAATAACAATAATAATAATAATGATAATAATGAGGAAATTGAAAATAATAATAATAATAGTCATAATAGGTGCGCTTGGAATGATGGAAAAGGAACATAACAACACATTAAAAAAATCTATGGAAATTGCCGCTTAAGAGAAATACAAAATATTGTCTTGATAAGTACAGCCCACACACTAAGAAGAACTTTGTCCATGTAACGCTAGTGGTGTTATGTGAGTTAGAAAAACAAATCATGAAATTTAACCACAACAACACACCACAACCTACCTTAAGTCTTCTCGCAGACTTGGTAGGTAGTGTGACTATAGCAGAAATCGAAATATAATAATAATAATAATAATAGATTATTAGATATAATTGTTAATTAGCTAATTATTGGATATGCCTAACAAATTCCTTCCTAATCATCATCATCGTCTGTCCAATGACCCTTTGTGGTCGAAAGATTATCGCGGGGCTAAACATATGACTATTTCTCTCCACGTATCTTTAGTTGAAAGCGGGAAAGGTATTCATTAATTTCTAGCGTGTCTGGGCCAGGTAGACCTGTTGGTGTCAATCCCTCTGCAAGTCAATCTATAGCCGATGTCCTTCAACTTGAAAGCTCGCCTTGTTCAGGGACGTGTGGCATGTTTCAATTTTGTTTTGGGGGATTATTTTTTTTCAAAAATGTATCACTTGTACTTCAGGACTAACATATTCGCCTCCATTAAAACACACAAGCAACTTGTGTAACATTATCTTAAAAACGAATCATAATAACACCAGACAAAATCTTTCATGAGTAAAATTGCTGTATATTCAGTTCTAGATTACATTAAGTTAATGTTGGTGTAAGGGTGGACAGTTTTACGGAGATGAAATTGTTCCTTTCCAGGTACGAGGGTCGGCTGAAAAGTTCAAAGCCTGACTACTGAAGGAGTGATACTGGAGCTGTGAAATCTTGCATGCATTAATTTCAACTTTCTAATAACTGCCTTGTTTCTTTCTCGGTACTGAAAAGTTCATTCATCTGCCCACTTTCGCACTATTGTAAAGTTGGGGCGTCATCCCCTAATTTAACAACAATGTCAGCAGGAACATCCTTGGGAGCTAACCCCTTTTTCTGCAGGCACTTGATCGCACCACGATGCCAAATTTTGTCCATTATCTATCTGTCACTGTTGGTTATAGGTTGAGGAAAGACCTTTAGCCTTACTTTCGCTGCATCAGTGTGAGAGCGGAAATCGGAACTGGGGATAGCATAATCAGAAAATGCATCCGGTGGCTAAAATAAACAGGACGCACAGATTCCCTGAGCCTAGAATAAACAGGACGCACAGGTGTACTAAGTGGAAAGAAATGCGTGCTTGCGTGGCCGCATGCCAGAAGAAGCATGACCACACGATGTTACGTTGGTGTCCAAAGGTTATTTAACCTGTCCGATTTTTGATCTGGTCGGAGAGGCTGGAAAGTGGTTCACCGAAGATTTTTCAGTTCCTCTGTCCGCAATCTGTGGTTCTCTCCCACTCTACCCATTCGCCGCAACTCAAACAATAAAAATAGTGTCCGTCGCCTTATTTGAGCCCAGTAGCAATATACTACATTATATTTGAAGTCTTCTTTGTACAGATAGATGTCAGCTTACCTGGAAATTGATTTCACAGCCACCTCCAGCATCACTCCTTCATAGTCAGCCTATGAACTTTTCTGTTCACCCTCGACTGAGTTATTATTGTCCTTAAATGTTTCAAATGTTAACGAGTGTTCCCGTCCGGGCGATATGTTTTTTGTTTTTTTTTTTTGTTATTTTTTTTTTTTTTTAAGCATTTCACCCGAAGCAAGGCGGCAGTGCCACTAGCATGCAATAGGTTACATAGAGAGAGAGCAAGAGTAAAGAGGGGTGTTTGAGGAAAGTATATAGAGAAGGACGGGGATCAAGATCAAGGCATCAGAAGATGTCCATTGACATTACATTTGAATAGCTGATAATTATAGCAAGTAGGAGTTCCACTATCGGGAAGTGGTAAAGAAACTGTTTGGATAGAAGAGGCGATTACATTTAACTGTTTCAACAGTGAAAGGGTGGGACCGAAATGCCAACTTAGTAGCACGCTTACATTTATGCATGCGGGGCACCAGTGAAAGTAGCTTGTCATAAATATTTGTAGAAAAGACAGAGGGATGCCACATCACGTCTGTGAGAAAGTGACTGTAGACGAGATGCCAGATCAGGACCTATCACATTGCACATCCGTCTCTTGATTTTGCCGAGAACATCGAGATGAAAAGCGGGGGGGGTGCACCAAGCCATATATGGCAACAGTATTCAATGCAAGGAAGAATGGTAGATTTGTAGATGTGAAGGATGAACACAGGCGAGAAAAACCGCGACACGGAGAACCAACTTTCCTTTCGGTAGATGAAGCTATTGATTCAATGTAGTTGTTCCATTTCAGCTCAGTGGACAACGTGAGGCCAAGAAGGCGCAGAGTGACGCTCTAGTGGAGTTGGGCATCTCTATGATGGGTAAATGTTGATAAAACTGCAAGGAATACCACGGACAGGGCATGTGATAAACAAAGAAGTTTTAAAGAAAATAGAAAAAAAAGGACACTTTTACTTAAAATCCATAATGAGGAAAGGAGGCTTGGAAAATTTGGCACTCACGGGACAGATCTGAGTCAGCAATTTCATAGAAGGATGCCGAGAATTCAATAAATGGAAGAGCAAGGAGGAAAGCTTAAGGAATATAAAACAAAATGTTTGATTAGAATCCAAAAGAGACAGCCGAAATCCGACGTACACATATGAGGAAAGAAGGCTGGTAGAATTTGACACACACAGGTCCTAATGAAGGCAATGAGAGCAGAGCGAAGCAGCGAGCAACATATCTAACGGGCTTGGGCAAATGGGAAGGATAACAAGGGAACAAATATTACCTTAGGGATATAGAGGATTTGAAATTGTGGGGACTCATGATCGCCCACGTTCCGAACGGACATTTTGTACATGAATGAAAAACAAGAAAAGCGTTGCACAAAGGTCCATGGATTTTTTTTTTTTTTTTTTGTCTACAGCCAGAATTCAGAACTGGTTTCAAAATTTCAGATTTGTATAAGAATGGACGAAACATGAATTGGTGAGAAGAGCGAATTTATGGTTGTTACCAAAAGGAACAACCCAAGAGGCGAACTAGGAATTGGCGAGAGAAAGAAAGAAAGAAAGAAAAAAAAAGAGCCAAGAGAAAAGGAAATAAGAGGCAATAGGATTAAAAAAAAAAAAAAGAAAGAAAAAAAAAAAATTCAAAAGAAAGATAGAAAAAAGAAGAGAAGAAAAAAATAAGTGGCAATAGGGTTTAAAGAAAAGAAAGAAAAAAGAACTACTAAGATAAAAAAAAGAAAAAAAGAAAAAAAGTACTAAGATAAAGAGGTGATAAAATTCAAAAGAAAGAAAGAAAGAAAGAAAGAAAGAAAGAAAGAAAGAAAGAAAGAAAAGATACAGGGAAGTAAATGGTGATAGGATTCCAAAGAATAAATGGAAGAGCAAGAAAGAAAGAAAGAAAGAAAGAAAGAAAAAAAGAAAGAAGAGCTGAGACAGAAGAAAGGGGTGATCTGATTCGAAAGAAGGAGAGAAAGAAAGAAAGAAAGAAAGAGATCCTATACAAAAGGAAATACGACGTGATAGAATTCCAAAGAAAGAAAGAAAGAAGAGTTGAAACAGAAGTAAGAAGTGATATGCTTCAAGAGAAGGAAAAGAAAAATCCGTTAATCTTTTCGCGCCAAATTTGGCTTAGAATGTAGTTGTCAGAATTGGTTTATGTCATTTTCTTTCAGGCAAACAAAAATAAACAAACAAGACGGAAAGATGGCAATAGTCAAAGAACGAAGAAAAATGGAATAAACGTAAGTGGGCAAGGCGGAGATAGTCAAAATATTGAAGGCACTAACTACAAGATCGATCTGCTGCCTGCCAATTCCACTAATCTCTCTATTTCGAACCATAATGCCTCTGCGGTCAGTGTCACGGTGCAGAAGATCGAATCGGCAAACTCGATTCAAGTCCTGACTTCACCTGATGCCGTTCACTTTTGCTTAAATGCCATTGAGAACAGCATCATTTTATTCCTTCACCTCAACTCTCCACTATGGGTTAAATATTCATGGACTGAATAGGTGATTAAAGTCGAAATTTTAAGCAAATTAGAAACAAAAAGGACGATTATATATAGAACCAGAAAAAAACAATTAAAATTTCTAAGGACACATATTGAGGAAAGTGAACTTGGAGAATTTGATACCCACAAGGCAATATGTAAATAGCGACTAGCATATCTAAGAAGTTTGTGTAAATGGATGACAGAATATGAACTGGGAGGGATGGTGGAAAGATAAACCTTACTTAGAGATACAAAAGATAGGAAGTTGTAGAGAGCCATTATCGCCCATGACCTGGAGAGACACGACCCATAAATGAAGGTTGTATTGTAGCGTAAAACTGTCAGAATATTAATTCCTCTACCCACAAAGTCTATATGTAAAAAATTTAATAAAAACATTTTTTACAGAATAAAACAATTGCCGTATTTGTCTACGCATAAGATGCGTTAGTTCTATTTTTTTAAAGTACCAAAAATCTACCCGGCGCCTAATACAGTCGTATTACGGGTGGGAGACGGCCGAGTGCTGCATCGGTTGGTTTGGGAGTCGGATGCATAAAAATTTTTACTAAAGGATGCACCACTGTAACCTAGAAAAGTGTTACTGAATGAGGAATAACCAAAACGGATGTTGTAAATGAAATGGTAATCTTTATAGCATCAACAAAATACAATACTCGCCAGCGGCGTGAAGTAGGTAAACCACTGATAGTGGTGGACTACTTAGACACCATATTACCCTCCACTTACAATAGTGCCCAACGTATTTATGAGGATTAGAACATACCCATTAGCGTTCATAAGTACGGTATATAACAGATAGATAGATAATGCAAAGGGATTCATAGATAGATAGATAGATAGATAGATAGATAGATAGATAGATAGATAGATAGATAATGAAAAGGGAATCATAGAGAGTGTTGTAACCTAGAAAAGGGTTACTGAATGAGGAATATCCAAAACGGAGGTTGGAAATGAAATAGTAATCTTTATAAATCAACAAAATACAATACTCGCCAGCGGCGTGACGTAGGTAAACCACAGCTAGTGGTGGACTAATTAGACAGCATATTACCCCCTGTTACAATAGTGTCCAACGGATTGGGACATACCCATGAGTGTTCATAGGAGCTGTATATAACAACCGCGAAAAAATTAAATTTACTTTACGATGAAACAAATTAACTAACGTAAAAAAATGAACTTTTTAAGTTTGAACATCATATCTAACATTTTTGTTTTGTTTTAAGCGACTAAATTTCTATCCTTTGTTTTTGTTTCAAACATATGTTTGTTTTGTGTTGAAATCACTAAAATCAGCCATATTGACAAATTTGTCAACACAACATAATTCTCTTTATTAAAAAAAAATCTTTAAAAAATATTCTTTTCTGAAACTTTGAGGAAGATTAACTGATTTAAAGTTTAATTAATATGAATTAAAAGAAATATTGCTTACTGTTAGTTTTAATTATTGCAAAAAAGCATTGGATAATTATTTGTGACCCCCAGATAACATTTTATCTGTTTGTGATTATAAATATTTGGATAAACCAATAACCCCTTCTCTGTCCATAGAAAATGTCATTACACTGAATTTTAATAAAATGAATTCTTTAATGTAAAGTTTTTCTTAATTTTTGTTAACCTTGATTGTACAGAGTGCCCCACAAAAAACAAGAAATTTTAAATGATGAAAAAAAAATTAACTTTTTTAGCTTGAACACCACATCTCACATTGGTGTTTTTGTTCTGTTTTAAGTGACTACATCCTTGTCTCTTCAAAGTTTCAAATAACTGTAACAAAAATCCCAACAATTAAATAAGCTGTGCCAAATTTCCTGGTTCTTGAGCGGGTGTTTTTCATTTGCAGGGCACCCTGTAGTCATAAAATATTGAAAAGAAGTAAAATCATTACAGTACAGTAAATTATATTACTAATAATATAGTATGTATAAATGTCTGTAGTGTTTGCTGAAATACAAGTTTCTTTCAGAATGGATTTTGTTTTACATGTTGCTTGGACCCTCGTTGGCGGATCTCATTGGTAAATATTGTGGTGTTCATTGACATTTCTTTCTGTGTTAAATAAGTGCCATGATGGATCTGAAAAGACGTCCGCAGCCATAGTTGGGTATCAAGTTTCAGGGAATGGAGAGCTAGGACTTTTCTTTGGACTCTTTTCATCTCTTTGTCTATTTGTCTTCTGGTCTTTTCGAAGGATGTTTTATCGTAGACTTCTCTTCGCCAATTGGTTCTTTCTACATCTTCCTTCTCCCAATTGACCGGATTGATTTCTGTCCTCAGCAAGGTTTTTTTTTTCATTTGAATCGACAACGTGAGAATCCACGTGAAAACTTGCCAGATGCGAGCTCCGGGAAGAGGATTTGTTTTGGTAGACGGATGACGGGCAAGGTGTCCTGTCCATCGAAGTCCGTGGCGAGTCAGAACAATTTCAAGGTTCTCCATCTTTGCGCAGAGAACTTCATTATTCAGGATCAGTTCCTGTCACTTGTTCCGCAAGATTTGACAATTTCATTTGATGGAATCTTTCAAGTTTGCGGATGTCTCTCCGGTAGAGTACCCAGGTCTCACAAGCATCAAAGAGAGTCGAATTTACAACAACTCGGTAGACCATGAACTTGATGATTTATGCAGTCATCTATAAGAATTCATTCACATTTATTGTACTTTACTGATTGCTTTATCAGCATCTACTGTAATTCTCTATAAGAATTACTTCCTTATGTGAGGGTGCGTGTTATGTGTACGCAAATATGGGAAATAATAAAGTTATTAAGTAATCTTTTCCTCTTCATTGCCAATTTAACTTTTTTTTCCCATCTTTTTAACAAACAAACGAAAATCGGATCTCTATTATAGAGGTGTGGAGGCATGGTGGAGTAACAGAAAGCGGCTTGGATTGTGGAATCGGTGAGCTGAGTTCGAATTCCAATCGAATCCATTACATTCACTTACGTGCTAATACCCTTGGGAAAGGTATGAATCCTCTTCTTCTCTCTCCAGCTATGGGTAAATAGCAGGACAGACCTTGGATGGCAACTGCTCTACCGCAGAAAGAAATGGCAACCAACTGCGGAAAAAAATCTGCCCCGTCAGTAATATATCAAAAGATACATGATCGCCTAAGCGTGTATCACACACACACACACACACACACACACACACATATATATATGAGAAAGAACCGATGAAGTAAGTATCCACAGTTCTTTTTTTAAATTTCTCAATACAAAGTATTTAATAAAATTATATATATATATATATAATTATTTTTTATAAAAAATTATAACATAAGTATGTTATAAGATCACTACAAAAATAGCCATTTTGTTTCCACACATTCTGTGTCTTCTCAAGTGATGATGTTGAAAATAAAATAAATGGTTTTAAAAAGTTTCAGATTAATTAACGATCCTACATTAGGGGAGCATTGTTACAAAAGCTAGAATAACCAATCAAAAAACGAAGTATAGAAAGATTCAAAAGCTTGACAACGAAATCCTGCTATAATAGCTATTCAGATCTTTAAATACGTGTAATATTAAAAAATAATTTATACTAACTAATAATTATAAAATCATATGATAAAATTTAATATTAAAATTAAAATTGGTAATTTTAAAATCCAAATTTAATCACTATTAAGTTTAAAAACTACAAAATTATTGAAAAAAGAAAAAATATATATGTTTACTCAATTCATTTCTTCATTGAAATTATGTTCGACAAGGACGCTACAATATATCCGGTCATTTGATAATACATGTATATATATTTTTTCCCTTTCCCTTTCATTTCCGTTTTTATTTTAAAGTTTGTGGATGTGGTCTTAAACTCACGCGTCAAGACAACAAAAACACAATCAGATTATAATACATAAGCACCCAGACATAAGAACAAAACACCTACGGTTAAATGGAGTTTGGTTAAGAAAGCTCGTACATGTAACTCCCTATATAACCCATGTTACCTATGCCTTAATGAAAAATTTGAAATTATTAGATTTAAAAACAAGGCTGATCTCTTAAATCAAAGATATGAACTTACAGTAAATTGTAAACACCGTTATAAATTTAACTTATTGTAGGGGTCGTATACTTTAAATGATAATGATATGTCGCTGTATTTTTAATAGATTAGTGTTTTTATTGCATGATGGTCATACTTACGATATAAGTGTGTATTGTATACCTGCATAGTGTTATTAGTGTTGGTGCAAATGTGTATATATTTATTTATGTGTTGGTTAGAGTATTGGCACTGAGGAATGTGTAGGTTGGTGTATGTGTATTTATTGTTTTTTTTTTTTTTTTTTTTGTTTTTTTATAAATATATGTATATGTGTGGGTGTGTGTGTGTATGTGTATATATATGTGAGTGTGTGTGTATATATGTATATATATTAGGTGGGAAGGTATGGTAGATGATAAGAGAAGAGGTTAATAATTGTTACGCTATATATGTACGTGTGTGCCTATATATGTACGTGTGTATTGGTGTGTGTATATGTATGTATGTATATGTAAATATATATATATATGTATGTGTATATATATATATATAAGTGTGTGTGTGTGTGGTTGTATATATGTATATATGTATGCATATATATATGTATGTATGTGTGTATATGTATGTATGTGTGTGTATGTGTATATGTATAAATATATATATGTATATGTATGATAAAATCACGGCAGTATAATGGTTGGCCAGCATGGTTCGCGGGATTGGGTGACTGAGTAATGAATTAGTTCTCACTGAGTGCCTCCTAATTTCGGCTTTTACGCCACTATATATTTGTATATATATATGTGTCTGTGTGTGTATGTGTGTATGTATGTATGTATATATATATATATATATGTGTGTGCATATATATATCTGTATGTCCTATTTTATTGTGTATGTATATCTATATTTAAGTATATTTCTGTTTGTATGAATGTGTTTATATATTTGTATGTTAGACTATATGTATATTGGTGTGTGTTGGTTTTTGAAGGTATATTTATGTATCTATATGTTAGTACGTTTATGTATGTATTTGGTTGAGTGTTGTTGTATTTTTATGTATGCATGTATATACTGGTAGTTGTTATTGTAGATAGATATTTTTATATATATGTTTATTTGTAGATATGTATGTATGTGTGTATATATATTTATGTATGTTTATGTGTATATATATATGTGTGTGTGTTGGCACCTATTATGTATGAGTTTGTTTGTGTGTATGTGGGGGTATGGAAACTTTGGTATATCATGACTGTTTTTTATATATGTAAGTAGGTGTGCATAAAAGTTTGTGTGTATATATGTGGGTATATTTAGGTTTATATGTATATGTGCGTGCATGTGTACTTGTTATCATAGATATGTATATGTGCGTATATGTTTATGTTTATATATTTATTTGTATGCATTTCTGTATGTAAATATATATGTATATGTATGTATGAGTGTATATTTATGTGTGTTAATTTGTTTTTGCTCCTGTATATATATATATATATATATATATATATATATATATATATATATATATATATATATATATATGTATATAGTTGTGTGTTTCTGTATACTGTTTTTCCTTGCCTAATATATAATGAAACTATTATCAACTTATATGATTAATAAATAATATATATTTTTATTGATATTTATGGTTTTAGAATTTTCGTTTTAATATATTAAATAATATTATTTTTTAACCATTTTTATCTTTGTATATTTGCTCCCTTGGTTATAATTCAATAAGTGGTTAGCATTTATTTAAGTCTGAAATATTTATTGGTTGTGATTTCTCAATGTCTGTGCCATTGTCTGTGGATGTAAGTATGTGTATCTATCGGTGTCTATGTGTATGTAGAGTGTATTCACTG